TATTTATCGTGTAGCATCATTTATCTATTACTGTTCTTAACAACATATTAAGTATTAAAATTAAGAAATAATAATATATCATGAATTTACATCTGATTATTTATTGGCAACATAACTAAAACCAGAGCAGCCTACCCTTGGTTATTGGGAGCAGTTGGAGCTTAACAAATATACAGTGTTTCCCACAGAGAGAGGACAGAGGAGAGGGGGTTATCTTTCTATCTCTAGAAGGTCATTTCTTATTTCGAACTGTTGCTTTACCTGGTCTGTCCTTGTAAAATATTCACTGTGTGTGCAAGATAACATCTCTCTCTCTGTGTGTGTCTTTGCAGAATGCTAAAATGAATTGCCGGCTGCTAATGTACCGGGCGGCCCGCCCAAGTAAACCTCTGTGTTGGACAAACTGAATATCATTTTTCTGTGGAATAAATTAAATGCGTCACCTGATCGTCTCATTTGATCGCTGTTTATAGAGACGCCAATCAAACTGTTTAGAGCAGTGGTTCCCAACCTTTTTCCTGAGTAAACTGACTCAGACGTTTTTTATGGATATTTCATATTACATTCAATGCATAACATTACGAGTACAGAACAACTGATTAACTGTACAATGAACCCAGATAGTAATTTTGATGACTATTTCCTGAGAACATTGCACCAGAGATGAGTTTTCCTGATATTTTTAGGAACTTTTTAATAAACTCTTGGGCTGTTTTATCTTTTCCGATGCAGAACGAGGTTGTTTATCAGAGAGTGGAGGCTCTGTGAATATAGCTTGTGTTTAAAGTTCAGGTCTTAAAAATAAATTAAAACCTAAACTTTAAATATAAAGATTTCTTCACAGAGATATAGCCCTGCTGTGTATATTTTTTCTTATACCCCTTAAAATCAAGAAGGTCTCGCGACCCCAGGTTGGGAACCACTGGTTTAGAGCAAATATTTGCACCCAATAATATTGGATTGTCTTTCAAAAAGCTTCCATCCTTATCTTAACATATAAAGTGAACCATATGACATACTGAGAAAGGCTGCCTTCCAAGGCAGAATTTCTAGTGGCGTTGTTACAAATGTCAGGAGGATATTAAATGAGTTTTTTTCTTATAACTGTCACCTAACACTTTCTCCGCTTCTCCAATTGTCCATCACTGTCATCCTCAGGACACTCCATCCATCCTGGACTGGCCTCTCCCTCAGCCAGCTTACGACGAGGTTACTACTGACCTAGACGACCAATCAGAGGACCAGGAGGTGCGGTCTATCAACAGGGGATTGAACGATGAGACGACCACGCCCAGCGCCGGCATGGCATGCAGGAGTGAGTCGCAGTCAGCTGACCTCTTCCAAGAACTGCAGCGAGAGGTAGACTTTACACATGGTTTTAAGTTTACAGATAAGTGGACATAAGTTAGACACTCTATGCTAATATTTGTTTCTGTCTTTATAGGTGATGGTGAAGCTGCAGGTTCCCATGGCAACAGGCCGCTCCCTTCCCTCCTCTCCTCTCCCTATGCCCCTTGCTCCTCTTGGCCCCCACCGACAGATCTGCCTGCCTCCTCCCTCCCCTTCCTCCACCTCCACCTCCTCCTTCGCCTCCTGTTTCGAGGATCGACCGGTGCTGCCTCCTCGCAGCCCCGTCCCCCCGCTGCGTCCTTCCAAACACAACCCCTCCTCCCGCACCACCCACCCGCAGGCGCGCTCCAGCTCCATCTCCCTGGGCGACCAGGAAGACACGCCTCCTCAGATCCCACCCAGAGACCACGCCTTCTCTCAGCCTGGCTCCCGCTCCTCGTCTCCCCTCCCGCTGGTGCCGCCGCTATCCTCCTCCCCTGTGGCCCTGCCTCCTCCTCCCCTCTCTGTCTCCCCACGGCGGGCGTCCGGACTCCTTGGTCCCCTTCTGTCCTCCAACTCGTCTGTGTCCTCCCTGCCTCAAGTCACATCACATTCCTCACGGCTCACAGCTCGAGGTTCCTCCTACTCATCCAGCTCCTTACTGGATCCTCTCGCCTTCCGTGAGGGGCGCGGCCTTTCCTCGCTGATGGACGGCTCCCAGAGCGCTGCTCCCGCCCCACTGCCAGACCGACCTGCTTTTCTAGAAAGGTGTGTTGCTGATATCAAACACCGTCTTACCTCATTCACTCGACTTAATTGGGATAGAGACCATTTCTTAGGCAAGTTAGGAAGGGAGCATGTGTGTTTGTTCCCAACATTGTATAATTTCCTTGAAAAATTAATTCATCATATTTCATTAACATTTATAGTTTAACATTTTGGGAAATACACTTATTGTTTGTCTCGCTAGATGTATATGTCAATTAGTGAGCTTTAGTGGTGCTGGTAGGCAGATTTGGTTACCTTTGGACTGAGTCATTCTAGCTGTTTGTCCCCGTTTTTAATTTTTCTGCTAAGCTAACTGGCAAATAAGCGTATTTCCCAAAATGTCAAACTATTATTTTAAATTTCTTTCTGACTTTCAACATTCAATAAGTTTTGTCTAACTTAAAGGGGAATTCCAGTATTTTTCAACCTGAGTCAATCACACTCCACGTTGCACTCGCCCCCTCCATTGTAGAGATCTGGGAATATATTAAATATCTGTTTATCAACATTGAGGTAGAGTCATCCTATATGTGAAACAATAAGTAATAAATGTTTTTTTATTAATTATTATTGCATATTAATAGATAGTGTTCTCTACGATAAACTTGGGTGTGCAAAGTTAGCATGGTCAGAATGGCCACATTAAGGAGTTTTCCTTCACAGTCTAACCTTAGTTTACTTTGTTCCAAAGTCAAAGTCCAAAGACAACAACTAGAGGTCTTGGAAAGTAAGTCTTTAAATATTTGCCACATTAAATGCTTTCACTCATGTCACTGAGTCAAAAAACTGCTTTTCCAGTTCGTTCTAATTGTTCCTAAAATACTAGAAGCACTAAAAGATGGCTTGAAAGCTCACGTAACACCCAGAGAGCAGGCATCACTCAATACAAAGTGAGAAAGCTGTTTGACTGACAGCTTGACTGAACAGGATTTATCTACTTGGGAAGTGTTGTTCACTCAGGCAAACAAAGTCTTCTCTTCCCACGGGTTTAATCCTGTTCTATTATTTAGTTTGTTTTGCACAGTTTGACGTCACCTCTTCAAGATATTTTCGGTGCATATATTTGCCTTCTCTCTTCAGTATGCAGAAGAGATACGTAGAGGTTTATTTACTTTATTTGGATTCCCGCAGTTCTTCCTGTGATCCACAAAATAAAATTGTACAATGGACACAATAATATAATAATATTCTCACAATATTGTATATAAGAGATCATATATAGAGAATAAGAGATTATTAAAACAAATGGAAACAAAAAAATGCAACAGTTAGAGAAAAACAATCAAATGTATTTTTGTAGCCACA